GCTGGAAACTCCGCAGCACTGAAGGTCTCATCTTGGGTCTCTTCCTCAACTGTGGCCAAAACACACATTCAGAAGGGAGTTCCTGTCAGCAGGGAGCCTTAGGGTACGTGGGCCTTGACCCCAGAGCTTTACGGTAGAGGGCAGGGAGGTTGATGCATTCCGGCCTCTGCCTTCTCAGTCCCAGAGGTGAGGCTGCTGCCCTCCCCCACCTGCAGCCTCAGCCCTGCCCCTCTTCTATAACCAGCCTACTCAACCTAACAGGCAGCTGGGAAGTCCCAGGTGAGCCTCAGCTGACCGTCTGGTTGGGCATCTGAGTGTCCCCTGGGTCTCACTGGCTGGGAACCAGGCACCCAAGAGACCCCAGAGCCTGAGTTCCAGCATCTGCCAGCCCTCCTGTGCGGCCTGGTCTGAGAGCTGGGCTCCCTGTCTGTTCCCTTCTCCATACTTCTCCCCCTCCTCCCTTCCCCTGTCCCTCCTCCACCACAGAGGGACCCCCCGCTTCTCAAAAGCCCCCACACTTTCTTTCCAAAGGGCTGGAGCCTTCCCCTCGCTCCTGGTCTATTGGCTGAAGGATCTGGAAGGATCAATGCCACACGCCTGGATGTGTGTACGGAAACCTCTCCACTTCCTGGTTTGCAGAGATAGGAACAACGTTACCGTCCAAGAAAGCCGGCAGTTCCGACCACCACCCCTGGGTGGCGATAAGGGCTGCCCGGCCGGTCAGTTCTGAATTTACCTGGGTTCTAGGGAGAGCAACTTCTCTATTGGAAGCAGATTGCACTGCCTCTGGCCTGCTGGGACCCGCCGCCTGATTTGTGTTCCCTAGTTCCAGCCACCTTGGGAATTAGGACCAGGACTGTTTGACTTCCCTGGTCCAGCAGCCTGCCTGCTCTAAGGCCAGGTTTGGCCATCGGACCTACTCCAGCCCGTGCTCACTCCCTGCCCCACTACCTCATTCTCTAGGGCCCTCATGTGTCCCCAGGGGCCAACCAGAGATAGAACAGACAGGCAGGGCCAGACTGGGATAGAGCCAAGGTGCAGCCAGTGGCGGGGGGGTGGGGAGGTGGGTGCAGTCAGGAGTGGAAGCATGGAAGGTGTTGGGATTCAGGGTGCAATGGAGCCGGATAGGAATGAGTTGGGCATACCAGAGGCCAGGCCAGGGCAGCGGATCTTGCCTTCAGCACTGCTGACAAGCGGCCCGGCCACTACTCCACGTGGTTCCTTGCTTCCTTGGGAGAGATAGAGACACCCACTCCCTCTTCTGGAAGTTTTTAGCTACTTCCCTGTTTCCTTTCACTTTACAGGAAGGAGGGAACCAGCTCTTTGAAATGCTAACATCTGATCAGCGCCAGGAAGGATCTGAGGGAGATTGGGGCAGATGAGGGAATAAAAAATCAAGAAGGACATACACAGGTCAAGATGGGGGTGGGGAGGTGGTGGACAGAAGGCCTGTGGGCTCATAGCCACAACGGGCTTTAAATTTGTTTTTTAAAAATTTAGGTGTCATGCTGTAACATTTACTCATTTTATATGTGTGCTTCAATAATTATTAGTAAATTTACAGTTGGACGACCATTACCAGAACCCAATTTTGTTAGAGCATTTCTTCAAACTTAGGATTGACATTATTCCTTTTTTTTTTTAATAGGAAATTTATTGTCAAATTGGTTTCCATACAACACCCAGTGTTCATCGCAACAGGTGCCCTCCTCAATACCCATCACCCACCCACCCCTCCCTCCCAACCCCCATCAACCCTCAGTTTATTCTCAGTTTTTAAGACTCCTCCTGGTTTGCCTCCTTCCCTCTCTATAATTTTTCCCCCTTCCCCTCCCCCATGGTCTTCTGCTAAGTTTCTCAGGATCCACGTAAGAGTGAAAACATATGGTATCTGTCTTGCTCTGTATGACTTATTTCACTTAGCAGAACACTCTCCAGTTCCATCCACATTGCTATAAAAGGCCAGATTTCATTCTTTCTCATTGCCAAGTAGTATTCCATTGTGTATATAAACCACAATTTCTTTATCCATTCATCAGTTGATGGACATTTAGGCTCTTTCCATAATTGGGCTATTGTTGAAAGTGCTGCTATAAACATTGGAGTACAAGTGCCCCTGTGCATCAGCACTCCTGTATCCCTTGGGTAAATTCCTAGCAGTGCTATTGCTGGGTCATAGGTTAGATCTATTTTAATTTTTTGAGGAACCTCCACACTGTTTTCCAGAGCGGCTGCACCAGTTTGCATTCCCACCAACAGTGCAAGAGGGTTCCCGTTTCTCCACATCCTCTCCAGCATCTATAGTCTCCTGATTTGTTCATTTTAGCCACTCTGACTGGTGTGAGGTGATATCTGAGTGTGGTTTTGATTTGTATTTCCCTGATGAGGAGCGATGTTGAGCATCTTTTCATGTGCCTGTTGGCCATCTGGATAGGATTGACATTATTCCTAAGTGAGTTGGTTCCTTTCAAAAAATTTTTTAAACGGTTATTCATTTTTGAGAGAGAGAGAGAGAGAGAGAGAGAGAGAGTATGTGTGAGTAAGAAAGGGGCAGAAAGAGAGGGAGACAGAGAATCTGAGGCAGGCTTCATGCTTTTAGTACAAAGACCCACACGGGGCTTAAACCCACACACCGTGGGATCATGACCTGAGCTGAAGTTGGACACTAAACTGACTGAGCCACCCAGGAGCCCCGAAGTTCTATATGGTCAATTCTTCTTCTTCTTCTTCTTCTTCTTCTTCTTCTTCTTCTTCTTCTTTTTGAGAAAGAGAGGGCACAAGTGAGCGAGGAGCAGAGAAACAGAGGGAGAGGGAGAGAAGTGGGGTTCACCTGAAGCGGGGCTCAAGCTAAGTGAGTTGGTTCTTAAAGTCACAGTTTATGGGACATCCCCTGCGGGGAAGGAGAGAAGGTATCTTTCCCATTGCTCTGCACCTGGGTCCCACCGCCAGCCCACACTGTGAGTTAATATTTTTATAAACCTCATAATTGAGGAACAGTTCAATTTCTTGCCGCGTGTGTGTGCGCATGTGTGTGCGCGTGTGCATGTGCGTGTGCTGCATGTCAAAAGCCTCGAATTGTTAAATGTCTAATTTTCTTTAATCCTCTTTTGGACTCTCTTCATTTTGTAATATACTAAGTGACTCAGAAAATGGAAATGGCCAGACCTCTCTGGCTCTCAGGGAGGCACAGAAAACCTGAAAGAAATTAAAAAGAACACACGAGATGCAGGCAAGTTGAGGCAACACATTTGGCTTCACCTCTGCGGACGGGCGGCGCGTGTAACACTCACCTGCTGTGTCAGAACAGGCGTGGCCGTGTCTATAGCTCGCGCTCACCCACGGCAAGGTGCCATGAGCTCTGGGCTGGCCTGAGGTGGCCCTTTGAAACACACACATTCTGCCAGCTTCCAGAAATGCCTGTGGGAAGGCTGCTGTGTGACGGACAGATGAGCTGGGCGGCAGTGGTGGGGTGGGGGGAGTGGAGCGGTCAAGGTGGTTACAGGGGTGTGTGTGCATGTGTTTGAGGAAGCGTCTGACCTTCCTGAGTTGGGGTTATTCCCAGAGTGTCAGACACTCAGATATTCAAGCTCGAGGCCAAATGTGCCCCCTCCCAAGCCAATTTTAGAAATTTCTGAATGGATGGTTTGCAGGTTCATCCCACCCCCCACCCACCCCCTGTCAGTGCAGGGGCAAGAGCCCCCAGAGACTGTTTTAGGTTCGCCTGGTGTCATTCCACATGGAAAGAGGCCTGGGGCTGCTCTTGGGAGAGGAAGGAGAAAGAAGCAGAAGGTGGTGATGGGTAGGGGGGAAGCCGGGGGAGTGAGGACTCGGGGGCCCAACATCCTCTTCCCCATTACACTCCTGGGTCAGCAGTTTGGTGCCCTCCACTGCCTCCTAGAACTCACTCTCCCCCTGCCCCGAGCAGTTACCCACTCGACAGGTGTAGTATGGCCCACAGAGCTTGGGGTTGTTGCACCCACCTCCCAGGTTATCAGCTGTGATTCAGGAGACACACGAGGCCGGTGCCGGGGGAGGCTGCCCCCACCCACCCACCAGCTTTGTGTGTCCCTGGGGGGGTTGGCAGAGGACGGTCACAGAGCCCTGGATGCCCGGTGTGCAGGCTGCTGGCCTCTGCTTGCACCTAGTTTCTGTTGAGCAGTGGTTTAGGGTAAGGGCACAAGTCTTAAGTGCTCAGTTGGATGGATGATCACATGCTCACACCGTTTTAAGCTCTAGCCCTTTCTTCTTCCTGAGGATGGAGTTTGGCAAAAGGACGAGAGGGGCCCTGGTGCCCTGGCCTCCCTGTTATCTGTCCCCAGATCTGGTTTCCCTTCCCTGGGCAACATGGTGGGCACATGAACCTGGGGCTGCGAGGGCCCTGCTTCCATGGAGTCTTACCATGAGAAGGGAGGCATTCAGTGCCACCCCAGCGTGGGTGAGCAAACCCAGAACCAGACTTTGCAGGGGCCGGGGATGCAGGAGGGGGCTCAGAGGGGCCTGGAGGAGGCAGGGATGTCTTCTGAGGGGATGGCTTGACTGCAGCCTGGAACGATGGAGGAGGTCGAAGATGAAGGAATGACCCGTGTCCCCTCCCGCAGCTGCTGATCCCGTCCCTACGACTGGGACTTTGCGGAGCCCCAGGGCTGCCCTCGGGGCAGAGCCAGGAGCAGGCCCCAGGTAGATGCTCCCGCTGAGCTCTGCAAAACCGTAGGTTGCAGGTGCCGACATTCTCTACAGGTCCAGGCACCTTCTCTACAGAGGACCCTCATGGAGCAGGGACTCTGTGGCCAGGAAGCCCTCTGGGGGACAGAGAACACTCTCAGGCCTCTGGCCAGCACCGACACTCCTCTGCTCGCCCACAGTTTCCGCTCAGTCTAGACCACAGCCTGCCCGGGGCCAAGCAAGAGAGCGTGTTACAGGCCACGACCAGCTGGTGATGGACCGCGACCCTGGGACTGTGGAATGCGCTGGAATATAGCTTGGTCAAGCTGCCTGGGACCCTGGAGGGTCCAGCCATGCTGGAGTAGCTTCCCCTGAGATGGGCAGGAGGAGGCTGGGGTGCGGGCAGTCTCGGGGAGTCCAGCGGAGAAACAGTCCGGGCCAGATTGGGCAACCAGATGTTTCCTTTGCTTCATCCTCCTTCCTGGCCGCCCCGCCCCCACTGCCTCTCATGCACCGTGGTCTGTTTGCCTCGGGGATCCCGAAGACATTGACCCCCTGGAGACAAAGCACTTGTCCCATAAGGAGGTGCTGGTTTCTTCTCCCTTCTCATTCCAGGCTCGCCCAACTGTCAGCTCCCCTCCTACCACCAGCCAGTCATGTGGCCACTAACTGCTGTGTGGCCCTTGGTGCCCAGCCCCTTGGCCTGTTGGCCGCCCTTGAGGGGTACCCACAGTGGGCGAGGTGCTCCCAGAGACCCCCGTGGGCCTTGCGCTCTGGAGACGAAGAGGCAGACTGATGGGAGCCACCGACTGCCCAAGGGAGAGGGCGGCTCTGAGATTGTGCCCCCTTAGAAAGGGAAGTTCTCCCGAATGGCCCCACAGCTAAACCACCCCCAAATCTTTCCTGGGACCCCTACCGTTCATAGGACTCAGTGCGGAGGCTGCTGCCGCTGTGTCTGCCCAGAGAGTGTCCGCCCCTGTCCCCGCTGGCCTCCGAGCGCATGTGTCCATGCTGGGAAGGGGCTCCGAAGCTGATGAGAGGTTCGGCAGCTGCAGGACCCTGCCTGGGAAGGTGGGGGCTCAGGCCTGCGGCTCTCAGCCTTGGTCTTCCCCTAAATCATGTCTGCTAGTGGTTATCGGTGGTGGGGAAGGCGTCATTTCCCTCACTTTCTAACATCACGTGGCAATTTTGCATCATTTCGTTTCTTCCCTAGCGTTTGCGGACAGGTTGGGGCCAGCAAGGTGGATGTGGCGGGGATCGAGGCCCCTGCCCTTCCTCTTTCAGTAGTCTCGATGTTTCTCTGTGCCCCTCAGAAAAATTGCACTCCATAGCTCACAGCCTATTCATGACGCATACATCTCTCTATTGAATCCTATCTTCCTACTGCCTTTCTTTAAAATGTTTTTATGTATTTTTGAGAGAGAGAGAGAGAGAGGGAGACAGTGAGTGTCAGTGGGGGAGGGGCAGAGAGAGAGGGAGACACAGAATCCGAAGCAGGTTCCAGGCTCTGAGCTGTCAGCACAGAGCCCGATGCGGGGCTCAAACCCACAAACCATGAGATCATGACCTGAGGTTAATAAGACCCTTCATCAACCGATCCACCCAGGAGACTCCCCCCCCTTTCTTTAGGGTAAAGATGTATTCCTTTGGGAAAAAAACCTGACCTAAGGACATTATTACCTCATTTTTAAGTATTTTTGTAATTATTATGCTGTTCATCCCCACAGATTGGCCGTGATCATTGACATTTTGCAGGAGACACAGATTTTATCAACGGTTGTACCAGCGCTAAGCAGACAAGCCACGGGAGATCCTGGCCTCCTGCTTCTCAGTCTGGTGCGTCCCCCTCTGAACCTTGACATTCCAGACTGTAGCAGTGTCTTTTGGTGGTTGAATTGGAAAATACGCATTTCTGGAGAAACTCTGTGGTTATTAGACCAAGGCAACCACCAAGTATACCTCTCCTACATTTTCATGTTCAGTTCAAGACCTTGATCTTGAATCCTCATGAGCTTTAGCTAGTCTATGACTGCATTGCCATAGACATTCTTCTGATGCCCACCAAACTCTGTGCTTGGAAGCTTCCAGAGGAGAATGGACAAGTTTCCTTGGTTCCTTGTAGCTTCCCGGGGAAGGTGCTCCTGTGGCCAGAAGGGAGGAGTAAAGTGAAAATCCCCAAAGAAGGGCATTCTTGGGACTCCAGAGATGGCACAGGGCTCCCTGTGGGTGGCACTCAGTGCAGGCTGTCGGATGACACGTCACACATTAGGATTGGCTTCCTATGTGCGTGTGGCCATTCTGTGTAAGCTGCGGGCACTTGTCACAGGGTATGCAGGTGTGTGTGCGTGTGTGTATTTAGAGTCTGAATTCCACGTGGATCAGGGAAGGAGGGGTCCCTGAAAGCTTGCTAAGTGCCCACTCTGTGCCCAGCCCTGAGCTGGGACCAGCAGGGGCTGCACAGGAAGGAAGGTCACAGCCGGAGGAGACGTTTCTAAGACTGAGAGCCATTCAGAGACTCTGAGGTCACTGTGCCAGCTTAGGGGTCTGGGCCTTGGGCTGCAGGCTCACAGAAGGGGAGCTCCCTGGGGTAGCCTCATCAGGGCTGGAGAAGGATGCTGGCCCTGATGCCTCCCCACTGGGTGCTCGCCTGGACCTGCAAGGAGTTTCTGAGCCCAGCTGGCCTTGTGCTTTTGGGGGTGTGATGGGAGGGGTGGCTCAGGTCTGGGGCGCTGTGGGCGAGTAGGGGTCTCAGCCCTGGAAGTATCTGTGGCATCTGTGGCACAGCTGGGATGGGTAGAAGGGTGCATGGTTCTGGTGGGGGGGAGCGGGTCTCAGCCGGTCCCCGTCCCCGGTGGCTGTGCTCCCTCTGTGCCCTTCATTTTCTGACCAGCCCTAGGAGCAGAACCTAAAGAAACCGAACAAGGAAGCAGCAGGCACAAAGAAAAGCAGAAGTGGAAACCTTGGAGACTTGACCCTCCTCCTTGAAGGGGCCTGAAGCCGCCTGGCACTGCCGTGGGTGACGTCTGTGCGGAGAAGATGAGGTGGCCGGACCAGGCCATGTGGCTGCCGTTGGCTCTGCTGCTTCTCTGGGTCCCAGGTGAGGGGCTGCCCGAGGAGGGGGAGGCTCAGCGGTGAGGGAGGCTGTGGGGGACAGGGGAGCACAGGAAGGGGCACTGGGAGAGGGGCACCCTGTGTCCACCACGTAAGGTGGATCGTACCCTGGAAACGTGAGACAGGGCATTCACCTGACCTTCCATGAGCCACATTGGGGTGCCCAGAAGGGGCTTTGAGGGCAGTTTCGGATGGATTATTCCAGGAAGAAGGAGGGGCGACCAGGTGGCAGCAGAGCGGGTGGGAGAGCGGCTGAGGCTGAGCACACCGAGGGGAGGGGGGTGTGTTTTGTGCAGGTGTGGAGGAGGGGTGACGACTGGCGGGAACACCACCCTCTGGGGTGTACTGAGGTGTGTGTAGCCAGGGCAGCGCGAGGGGCTCAGCGTCCTCAAGGCAGAGAGACGGGGACACAGGGGAGGGGACGGTGGTGGGGAGGAAGGGGAGGGCAGAGAAGTCACAGGGAGGAGAGCTTCTCCAGGGAGCCGAGGACTTCCCGTTTCCAGGGATCCGGCTTCCATGCCTCTCCGGAGCTCTCTGCACACAGGCACCCACCGCCTAGACAGGTCTGTCCCTGGGGTGCCTAAAATCCTTTTGGTCGTTGTGATTACAAATTGCATGTTTTCTTTGACTCCGTTTGCTAACTGGTTGGCCACGGGGAAGCTCTTCCCTTTGTGTATTAATTTGGCAACGGGTCACCCTCCCACGGCTACTCTGTCCATCACCCTCTGGGGCGTCCTTGTGTTTTCATGGAATCTGCCTGCAGTGGGAGCTCGCGGTTCCTTTTGGATATCCATTTGTCCCATTTGTTTCTCTCATCGGCCACAGGCTGGTCCAGCCAGAATGATGCAGTGACCATCCTTGACTTGTCTCTGACGAGGGCAGGTGTCACTGTTTCCCATTAAGTGTGAAGAAGGCGTCTGCTTGTGTCTCGTTACAAAGGTTTTTTTTTTTTAATTTTTTTTTAACGTTTATTTATTCTTGAGACAGAGAGAGATAGAGCATAAATGAGGGAGGGTCAGAGAGAGAGGGAGACACAGAATCTGAAACAGGCTCCAGGCTCTGAGCTGTCAGCACGGAGCCCAACGTGGGGCTCAAACCCACTAACTGCGAGATCGTGACCTGAGCTGAAGTCAGACGCTTAGCCCACTGAGCCACCCAGGCGCCCCACAAAGTGTTTTTAAAAACAGAAGCAACAGGGGCACCTGGGTGGCTCAGTCGGTTAAGCATCTGACTTTGGCTCAGGCCATGATCCTGGGGTGCATGAGTTCAAGCCCTGCGTTGGACTGTGTGCTGACAGCTCAGAGCCTGGATCCTGCTTCGGATTCTGTGTCTCCCTCTCTCTCTGCCCTTCCCCCGCTCATGCTCTGTCTCTCTCTCTCTCTCAGAAATAAATAAACATTAAAAAAAAGAAATACATTCCAGCCAATATTTTCCAAAACATAGGAAATCATTCGTTTTATCTAAGTTTACAGACTTGTTTGTAGAGGCTTGTAAATTACCCTGGTTATTTTTCTTATGACTTGTGTATGTGCGTCTCCTACTTTTCTTGACTTGGCTATCACAAGAATGTTGGTACCTTGCATACAAAAAAATCAAGTTTCCAACGTATACGCTAACTCCACTGTGTTCCTGTTTCTTAATTCGCTGATTTCTGCTCTGACTTTACTCTTTCTTTCCTCCTGGGTGGGGTGTATATGCGTGTGTTCCTCTCCTGACCTCCGGAGTTGGGGGATTCACTTGTTTATCTGGGGTTCTCAGGGATAGGACTTGGTGATCATGAGCAGGCAGAAGGGAGGCTGGGGTCTGGAAGAAGGGGCTGCTGTGATAGAAATCTTGGGAGTGACAGAAAAGTAGAGGAAGGGAAGGTTCTGGCTGACGGGGGGTGGCCAATGTGAGATGGGGCAAATTTGGGGGTGACTCCCAGGGCACCCCTGACCCAGGCCCATCTGGTGAGGGGCCCACACTCGGCTGTGTTTTCCAGGCTGTTCCTCTATAAGTGGCCCCACCTCCATGACGGGCACCTTGGGGAGTTCTCTGATCGTGCAGTGTTCATATGAAGAGCAATTAAGAACACATTTCAAATACTGGTGCAAAAAGCCATGTTTTTGGAAAACCGTGGAGACCGAACAGTCAAGCAAAGAAGTGAGGAAGGGCCGCGTATCCATCAGGGACCATCCTGCAAACCTCACCTTCATAGTGACCTTGGAGAACCTCACAGAGGATGATGCAGGAACATACCGATGTGGGATCGATACGTCCTGGTTAGGAGGATATTTGCAAGACCCCGCCGTCCACATTGTGGTGTCTGTGATCCCAGGTGAGTTGTACGCACCCCTCCCCCAGCGCCAGCACCAGGGCCCCTGAAGGGTCTCAGGCGGGAATAGTCGAGGCAGGAAGCAGATCAGAGGCTTGGAGCAAACTGTGTGTGTGTGTGTGTGTGTGTGTGTGTGTGTGTGTGTGTGTATGAGGTGGGTAGTAGGTGGAGAAAGAGAGTCAGGGTGGCTTCCTGGAAAAGCTGGCCCCTCTGCTCAGTCTTGGGAAGGGGCAGCTGAGAAGGCAGAGCGTACAAAGGCGAGAGGGAGCCATGCTACAGGATGGTGGGAGCTGAATGGAGAGGCAGGTGGGGCCAAACGGCGAAGGTGAAGGTGCCGGGCATAGCGGGGCCTCCAGCCAGACTTGCAGTCAGACTTGGAGTTTAGACAGAGATCCCAGGCGGGCAGCGTCTGGCTGTGGCTAGAGGAGGATGAATCTGGAGCACAGGGGTGACCTATGGGCTCTCCGGAGGGCCCTGACCCTCCTCCACAGGATGGGATCGGGGCTGTTGGGGGCGCACAGTACCCCGGGCCCCGGGCCCCAGGGAGGCTGTGGCCCCGGGGGGTCCTCGGTCCTGCCTCCACCCTGAGTGAGCATTTTGTGTGAAATCAAACCAAAAAGGTATTGGCAAGTAGCGGGAGAGTCCGATAGCGCTATCGCAGGTCTTGTTTGTGTTTCCGCGCCAGCAACAACGTCCGCCCCACCCGCAAACATCACTGTAACCCAGATCTCAACAATCACAGCTGGAATCATGACCATGCCGTCCTCATCCTCACCCACTGTCCTCATCACCGTGGGAGCCACCCACAGTGCAAGCAGCCAAGAGGAGTTCCAGCAAAGCCAGGGCGTGGGGTGAGGTCCTCTGTCCCCTGTCCCTTGTCCTGGAGGTAGGCCCTCGCCTCAGGAGTTGCTCAGGGCCAGGGGAAGCCTCGAGGTGGGGATGGCAGGAAAGGAACTTCTAATGAGGGCTGATGCTCCTACCAGGGATGTGCTAAATGCCCTACACGTCACTAGGGCCCTGGGCCGTCACCGCCCTCATGTTACGTAGGCGCAGACGGCTCAGGGAGGTTAAGTGATCTGCCAGGTCACGTAGCTACGGGAGGCGGGGGGCGGGGGGGCTTCCACCCAGGTTTACGTGACTCCAGAGTCTTGGTTCCTCCTTCTAAACCTGTGATTCTCTTTTTTTTAAACTTTATTTCTTTACTTTGAATGGGAAGAGGGGCAGAGAGAGAGAGAGAGAGTTTCAAGCAGGCTTTGCATGTCAGCACAGAGCCCGACATTGGGCTCAAACCCACAAACCGTGAGATCACGGCCTGAGCCGAGATCAAGAGTCGGGCGCTCAACTGACTGAATCACCCAAGCACCCCTAAACTTGTGATTCTTGGTCTTCTGGGGTCACAAGCCCCCAGGAGAATCCGACAATGCTTACAGACTCCTTAGAAAAGCGCGTGTAGTTGTAAACCACTTCTGAGGATCTCAGACTCCCTCACCAGGCTCCACCTTGCGTCCTGCCATTCAATTCCAGCACTCACCGCCTGGAGTTAGCACAGACCCCGTGGGTTGAGGGCTCAGTTCCATAAGACTGCCTGACTTCAGATGCCAGAGCAGTTTGGGGATCCCCAGGCCATCACGTTTCTGGCCAACTGGCTATGAATTTGGGGGTTCCCATGACCCTTTTGGGTTTGATAATTGGCTAGATAGCTCACAGAATGCACGAAAGCCCAGTGCTTACGAGTATGGTTTTATCATAAAGGAAAAAGGCCAGAAGCAGCCAATGAAGAGACACATGGGGTGAGATCTGGGAGGGTCCTGGGCACAGAACTTCCCTGCTGACTCCTAGGAGGGTCAGGGCACGTCGGGGCACATGCCATTACCTAGGCACGATTGGTTGAATCACTGGCCACATGATTGAACTCCATCCCCAGACCCCCTCTACTTCCTGAGTTTCAGGCTGGCTCAGAGCCCCAAGTCTCCATAATCATGGGGGTGGGCCTTCTGGTGACCAGCCCCAGTCTTGACCCATTCATCTCTTAGCATAAACTCAGGTGTGATCCGAGGGGTCCTTCAATAACAGAGGCTAGCCTACTATTGGGGAAATCCTTAGGATTTAGAGTCTCCCTTCCACAAGCTAGGGGCAAAGGCCATTCAGATTCTTCTTATTTTTTTTTTTTTTAAGTAATCTCTATACCCCAATGGGGCTCGAACTCGCAAACAAGAGTCACATGCTCTACCGACTGAGTTAGCCAGGTGCCCCCATTCAGATACCTTATTCTATGACCCCCCAAAACCCTTCCACAGGCTTTCCATCAACCCAAGTGACTATCTTAACATCAGGCAAGGTGAAATTCAGGTCCTAAACACACCACTTCCAGAACTGACTGCAGATACACACACAGGAGGCAGAACTAGGTTTTGTAAGGCCTGGAGCCTATGCAGTTTGGTGTGTGTGGGGGGACTTACGTCTTTAAGAAAAAGACATGGGGTGCCTGGGTGGCTCAGTCCGTTGAGTGTCCAGCTTTGGCTCAGGTCACGATTTCACCGCTCATGGGTTCGAGCCCTGAGTCAGGCTCTGTGCTGACAGCTCATGGGTTCGAGCCTTGAGTCAGGCTCTGTGCTGACAGCTCGGAGCCTGGAGCCTGCTTCCGATCCTGTGTCTCCCTCTCTCTCTGCCCCTCCCCTGCTCACACACTGTCTCTCTCTCCTTCAAAAGTAAATACACACTTTTTTTTTTAAAAAAGAAAAAGACTAGAACATTATGAATGCAAGCTAGACAGGAAAGAAGAGGCTGGCAAGCGAGGGACCTGAAGTCAGCTTCCCACGGCCTCTGCTGTGGCTTGTTCGTATGTGAAATGGCAGAGCCACAAGGCGACTTTTTTTTTGTGGCAATGTTTGTGACTGCAAAAGGCTGGGGGACATGCCAGTCAGAAGCAAGACTTAAATAAATTATGGTCTGTCCATGCAGTGGAATACTATGCAGCGGTGGAGAAGAGCGAGGGTCTTCTTTATTCACAGACGTGGAGAGATGTTGAAGACGTGTTGCTAAGTAACAAAAATAGTGTTGGATCACACCTCCTTTGTGTGAAAGAAGGGGGAAAATAATGTATGTTTCTATTTTCTTGTATCTGAATAAAGAGCTTCTGGAAGGTTCTTTTTTTTTTTTTTTTAAATAAACGTTTATTCATTTTTGAGGGGGGCACAGAGAGAGAGGGGGGACAGAGGATCCGAAGCAGTCTCTGCACTGACAGCAGCGAGCTGGATGTGGGGCTCGAACGCAGGAACCGTGAGGTCATGACTTGAGCACAAGTCAGATACTCCACCAACTGAGCCACCCAAGTGCCCCTGGAACATTCTTAAGTACACTGATATACTGTCTACTTTCAAAATTTTTTTTTTAATGTTTCTTTCTTTTTTTGAGAGAGAGAGAGAGAGAGAGAGAGAGAGAGCGAGCACAAGCAGGGGAGGAGCAGAGAGAGAGGGAGATACAGAACCCAAAACAGGCTCCAAGCTGTCGGCACAGAGCCCGATGCGGGGCTCGAACTCACAAACTGTGAGATCATGACCTAAGCCAAAGTCAGACACTCAACCGATTGAGCCACCCAGGCGCCCCTCTCCTTTTTTTTTTTTTAATGTGACCTTTTCTATCGATTGCAAATAAGTGGGGGTGGGGGGGGAGTGCGAGCTCCCACCTGCTCAACACTGCCGTGTCCTCCCCAGGCTCCAAGTACTCCTTTCCTTGTTGGCGCTTCTACTGCTTCTGCTGGGGGGAAGCTTGTTCCTGGCCTGGAGGATAGTTCGTAAGCGGGTCAAAGGTGAGTCAGCCCCCTGCTGGGTGGGGGGTGGGTGGGCCAGGCCCCAAGCACCTCCCTCTCATTTTTGAGGCTCTGTGTCCTTGTTCCCCAGAATGGGCATCAGGGGTGTATCCTTGGACCACATGTCCTGGGTGACCCTCGAGGCCAGGCCCCAGAGGAGGTGTCCTTGGTATGGCGGAGACAGGCCGTGGAGGGGGCTCCCTGGAAGCTTGTCTGTGAAGCGGTCACCCTCTTCTGTCTGATACCCTTCTGGAACCTCCCATACTCTTGAGGGTGTTGTCCCGCCCAGCCCCTGCCCATCCTCACACTCTTGAAGACAGCTGTTCCCAACTTCCTGTAACATGGTGGGAACGGTAACATCAGTGGGTGCTTCTGCATTTGCTCTGGGCCCCGGGGGCACCTCCTCTCGCTACTGTCTTTCCCTGGCTTGCTCCTGGTGGGCTTTGGGGCTGTCAGACTCCCTTTCCTCTGGGACCTTCTCCTGGCTCCCCAAAAGCAGCTTGGGGGCCCCTCCTGGCTGCACCTGTGTGCACACACCCTCATACCCTTTTCACACCAGACTCTCCCCGCCTGCTTCCTCGCCTGTCTCCCGCCGGCCTGTGCTTCTCCTTCAAGATCAGGGACTGGAACTCAAGAAGGCACCCGGTCAGTTTTTGTTGAATTAATGTATTGTTTAGTATCTCGAGCCATGAGGGCACCTCAGATGCTTCGGGCATCCTGGGGCCCCCTTGCTCTCCTCTGGGCTTAGACACAAAGAGAGAACACATGTGGCACCCCCAGCACCCTGTCTGGCACTCAGGAAGTAGGTGCTCAGTTGACTCTAAACGAGCGAATTCATTTTTTTTTTTTTTTTTTTTTTTAATTTTTTTTCAACGTTTATTTATTTTTGGGACAGAGAGAGACAGAGCATGAATGGGGGAGGGGCAGAGAGAGAGGAAGACACAGAATTGGAAACAGGCTCCAGGCTCCGAGCCATCAGCCCAGAGCCCGACGCGGGGCTCGAACTCACGGACCGTGAGATCGTGACCTGGCTGAAGTCGGACGCTTAACCGACTGCGCCACCCAGGCGCCCCGTAAACGAGCGAATTCAATAAAAAGAGCAGAAGGATGCAGATGTGACCTTGTTGCTGGCTGGAGGCCCAGCTGTCACCCACGGGGCGCAGGTCTCTGCCCGAGTTGCAGGGTGAGCCTTCTTTGCTCTAAAACTTCTGGACTCCATGAGCAGCTGCCTCGAAGGAGAATCCTTGCCCGGCCTTATGGGAGGAGGGGTGCATGCCCCACAACTGGCGGTGGGTGCTCCCGGAGCCCGTGCATCCTGGGGATCGGGGCGGGGGCCCACCGTGGGGGTCAGGCCTTTGGTCAGGCCTTTAGAAGAGGAGTCGACCTCAGCACGTGTGTGCCTGATGCAGGGAAGGAAAACCACTTCCCCTTCCCCCTCTGCTTCCCCCACATCACTTCTGAGTGCCCTCCTCCTCACCCCAGGCCAGGCCTCCCTCTGGGATTTTCTCAGCCTCAGGCCCGTGGGTCCCAGCCCTCTCTGCCCTTTCACCTAGAAAGTTTCCCTTTTTTTTTTTTTTTTTAATGTTTATTAATTTTGAGAGACAGAGAGAATGTGAGCAAGTGCACACGCCCTCTCACAATCAGCGGAGGGGTGGAGAGAGGGGGGCAGAAGATCCGAGCGGGCTCTGTGCTGACAGCAGAGAGCCCGATGCGGGGCTCAAACTCACGAACTGTGAGATCGTGACCTGAGCCGTAGTCGGATGCTTAACCAACTGAGCCACCCAGGCGCCCCAAGAACCTCCCTTCTGAAAAATGGGGATATAAGGTTGTGGGAGAACAGGGGCGCCTGGGTGGCTCAGTTCGTTAAGTGTCCGACTTCGGCTCAGGTCACGATCTCACAGTTCGTGAGTTCAAGCCCCGCATCGGGCTGTGTGCTGACAGCTCGGAGCCTGGAGCCTGCTTTGGATTCTGTGTCCCCCTCTCTCTCTCCCCCTCCCCTGCTCGCATGTGCTCTTTCTCTCTTTCTCAAAAATAAATAAATAAACATTAAAAAAAATTTTTTTTTAAAGATTATGGTAGAACATTTAAAAAATAAGCAAAAGCACAAAGAAAGAAATAAACTGTCCATAATAATATAATAAGAAAGAAAACTCCCAGCACCTGGAGAAAACCAAGCACTGACGTTTGGGGCATGTCCTTCTCGTGCTTCTCAATGTTTATTTATGCAGATATGATTTCTTACTTATGGCTTGCTTCTACCACAATCCCTCTTACACACACACACACAATGCACACACACACATATTTGCACTTAACCTACCATTATCATTTTCCCTGCTGTGCAATGTTTTAGAAGTCTCTTACTGCAGAGTTTAACGATGTGTGGGGGATTGCACCTTGCTTCGTGGACCCTCTGTCACAGGAGAAAGGCCTTTGTGTTCAAAGATGCGGACACTCCCTCCCCATCCCTGCAAGTCTCAGCTCCTGTCCCCACACTGTCCTTGGCTGCTCTGCTGCAGCCTGCTGCCTGCCTGTCACACACAGCCTATCTTCCCCTCCGCCCACTCATGATGAGTTCATTCATTCCCTTGCTCACACACACAGCACAGCCGTCCGGAGCACCTACCGGGGCACCGGGCCCTGTGCTGGGCTCTGGGGGACACAGTCGTGACCAGGAGAGACTGGGTTCCACCTTCCTGTGCAGCTGGCTCTGGCCGAACTTTCTCACTGCCACATTCCTTCCCCAGTAATGTCCACCCATCTCTTCTCCACCAGCCACCAGGTCACCCACAGAGAGAGACGGTGGCAGGAGCCTGCACGCAGTATTTGGAACAGAATGTGTTTGCTCCTCAGAGCACCCGGTTGGTGTTCCATTAAGCCAACCGAGAGCACTCAGCTAGCACTTCCCTCCTGTGTGTCTCCTGAATGTCGGTGTCTCACCTTCGACTCTAGGGCTTTCTGAGGGGTGTGCAATGTCTGTCCCTGGTGCATCTAGTGCGGGGGGCCCTGGGGTTGCCTGGCCGTGCAACTACACTAAAGGCATTCCGGCTGTGTGCACAATGCCCACTGCCGGCCCGCTCCTGGGTCTCCCGGTTCCAGCGGCCAGGGGTGCACAGAGCCGTGTTCAGAGGCAGGTCTCCTGCAGAGCGACGCTGAAGACGCCACAGGCCAGAGGTCGTGTGCCCTGAACCGTGGTTCCCCGGAGCCACAGGGCCTCCTGTGTGTGAGGGACAGACCCCCAAGCCAGGGGAATCAGAGCAGATGACCCCGGTGACCTCTCATGGTTTGATGCAGTACTAAGGTCTCCATAAGGACGGTTCCTTTTTTATTTTTAATTAAAAAAAATTTTTAGGGCTCCTTAAAACACAGATTGCTGAACCCATCCCCAGAAGTTCTGGTTCCACACGTCTAGGGGAGGGCCTGTGGATCTGCGATTTGTTTATTTGGGTAAAAAGCACGTATCGTAAAATTTGCCATCTTGGCCATTCTTTTTTTTCATTAATTTTTTTTTAATGTTTGTTTGTTTTTGAGAGAGAGAGAGCAGGGAGGGGCAGAGAGAGGGTGAGACACAGAATCTGAAGCAGGCTCCAGGCTCTGAGCTGTCAACAGAGAGCCCGATGCAGGGCTCAAACTCACGAACTGTGAGATTACGACCCGAGCTGAAGTTGGACGCCGAACCCACTGAGCCACCCAGATGCTCAGCCATCTTAACCATTCTTAAGTTTACAGTTTGGTGATGCTGTGAAAGAAATCTCTGGAACTGTTTCATCCTGCGGATAGGTTCTTGTAAACAGGTGTCCTTCTCCAGTCTACTCCCACTTGAGAGCATTCTTTATGAGTGACTGTTTCGAGACCTAGCTTTGTGTGGCCACTCTCTCCAAGCCTGTGCCTTCCCGCTGGTTCATTTATTCTCTCCTCCACTCATGCATTCATTTTTCATTTCCTTCTTCACCCACTCACTCTCTCTGCAATTCCTACTCTGAAGTGACAGGTCCCCAGCATCAAAGTCTCTAGGGAAAGTCCTTCCTCCAGCTGGATCATAGGGGATCTTTTGTTCTCGGATTCAGACTCCTAACTCTTCTCTCTTTAGCTGGTGAGAATCCAAAACCACTCCGGACCCATAGTCAGGTAAGACACAGGCAGAAGGTGTGCCGGGGTGGCTGGCGGAGAGAACAGAGGACGTTGGGGCCTTCAACAGTCCCACTGGCCAGTGGAGGTCTGAGTGCATTGTTGATGGATGGAGTTGGGTGCTTGCCCAAGAGCAGGGAGAATGATCTCTGGGACATCTGGTGGTTGGGTCTCTGGCCAATTAGCTCTGGTTAATCTGTCCCCACCCCCATCCCCCATAGAAAGTGGAATGATGGAGGGTCCGTCCATGCTGACTTGGGGGGGGCATTCAAATACTGCCCAGAGGGGACCAGAGTGGGGGATGGGGGAGGCACGGTGGGGAGACTGGGGCTGGGGCACCCAGAACATTGAGAGAAGGGGTAGATGTCCGCAGGCAGGCAGGAACAGAGGTCCCTCTGAGCTGGACTATGGAGGGGCTCCGTGGACACCTGCTAAATCTCCACACCTTCTGCCCACCCAGAATACTCTGCAAGGTGAGCTCTATTATGCGAATCTGGAGCTGCAGGCAAGGACGCTTCAGGGAGAGCCCACACAGCCGAGACAGGAAGAGGTAGAATACAGCACTGTGGTGAGTGTGAGGGCCTGGCGGCTGGCGGGAGGTGGGGGAGGGGAGGGCCTGGGCTCTGTGAGAGGCACCGCCCTGGGGGGTGGCAGCAGGCAGAGAGGGAAGGGAGGGGCTGACTTGGTGACCTTGTGCCCCACCAACACAGGGCCACACAGAACCTAGGTCAAGTGTAGACCTTGCCAGAGCTTGGTGCCATTGTGGCTGGGGGCTGGGGCAGAGACGAAGGGGCTGTTGGGGTGCCAGTGATGGTCAACAGTCAGTGAAGCGGAGCATTTATTATGCACCTACTATATACCACACACCTATGTTAAAGCCTGTGATTTCCCACTGTTTTGGTACCATTATCTCTTTGGCATCAACTCTACATTTCAGGTTTTTAATCAATGACCCCCCTGCAAGCCAACCCTTAGGCACAGTGACTGTAAAGTGCAGCGTGGAAGAGGCTTCTCCAGCAGGGGTCAAGACCCACCCATTAGCGGAAGAGTTCGGGGAGAGGTTGGGGACCCTGTTGTTGGAGAAGATGAAGGGAGAAAAGCATCAGACATGTGGCCCTGGGACTAGCAGCATCCTTGTTTTTCTAACTTCGTGATTAATGATCTCAAAGTCGATCCCGGCCCCCCCCCCCCCCGCCCCGTCTCCAGGTCTCATGCCTGGGACTTTGTGCTGTGTTTGAACAGGTGGGGTGAAGCAAGGGTGGGGCAGGACAGTGGGGAAGACTGGACCCACCGCCATGGAGCCCCTCAGGGTCCCCTCAGGTGTCCCTTGTCTCCATCCTGAGCTGGGGACCAGTGCTTCCCCTGCCTCTCCCTGAGCCTCCAGTCTCTCTCTCTGCAGAAGAAGCCTTCTCTGGAAGAACTTCACTACTCTTTGGTGGCATTTGACCCTGAGAGTCAGGATTCTAAGGCCAACAGGATTCCCTCCCGGAGGACCCTGGAACAGGAAACAGAGTACAGTGTGATTAAGAAGACCTAAGCCTGTGTCTCTGGCCCTACCATCTGGAGGTCTCTGTGGGCCACAGGCCCCCTGAACCCTCACCCATGTCCCCCTCAGCCTGCTCCTCTCAACGGTCACCAGCAAGGCAACTGGGCCCCCCTCAGACTGTTGCTTTTGTGCCATCAGCCTGGCCGGCTTGATTGGGGAGGAGCAGGACCTGTAGAGAACCCTCCACCCCCCTACCCAGCTCCTGGCACATCCTTCCTCTTTGTTTCATTCCAGCTGTGTGTGGAGCGCAGAGGCTCAGTCCTGTGTGGCTCCAGGAAAAGATGTGACCCATGTAGGATGGTACCTCTGAATACCTTTATAAATCACAGCTCTGTGGAAGTGTGTGGGATTGCCACGGCATGGGGAGCACTGGCAGAGAGACTGGGAGAAGGCAAAGGCCCTGATGATCGAGTCTCCCTGGTTTCAGAGACAAGGACCCTGAGGCCCAGAGAGAGCAGAAGCTTGCCCATGGCTCCAGAGCCAGTGGCACATTTCTCTGGACTCTTGGATGACTTTTATTTTTAATATTAAGACATATCAATAAAGTGCAAAATCTCTTGAGAGAGAAGAAAAAAGTTATTTAAGCAATGCGTGCTATGTGTCTGCAATCCTCTATTAAAGAAAGCTCCTTACTTTTGAAGGCTGAATAGTATTCCACTGTGAGTGTATATTGCACTCTGCTTATTTTTTTATCCACTGATGGACACTTGGTTTGTTTCTGTGTTTTAGCTATTGTGAGTATGTTGCTAGGAATGTAGTGTATAAATATCTCTTTGAAACTCGTTTTTTGTTTTGGTTCTTTTTCTTTTCTTTCTTTCTTTTTTTTTTTTTTTGGTTAGTTTGTTTTAATTGTGAATGTTTTATTTATTTTTGAGAGAGAGGGAGAGAGACAGTGCAAGTGGGGGAGGGGCAGAGAGGGAGGGAGACACAGAATCCAAAGCAGGCTCCAGGCTCCGAGCTGTCTGCACAGAGCCCGATGCGGGGCTCGAACCCACAAACCACGAGATCATGACCTGAGCTGAAGTCGGACACTTAACTGACTGAGCCACCCAGGTGCCCCCCTGTTTGTTTGTTTTGATAGCAGCATCCTAATGGTGGTGAGGTGGTATCTCACTGTAATTTTGATTTATGTTTCCCCAGCGATTCGTGATGCTGAGCAACTTGCCACATGCTTGGTGGCCATTTGTATATCTTCTTTGGTGAAATGTCTATTCAACTCCTTTACCCATTTTTGAATTGGGTTTTTTGGTAGAATGTTAGTTGTCTATATGTTCTGGATATTAATCCCTTATCAGATATATAATTTGCAAATATTTTCTTTCATTCTGTATGTTGCCTTTTTACTCTGTTGGTAGTGTCTTTGATGCACAAAACTTTAAAATTTTCATCATGTCCTATCATGAATTGAATGCTGAATTGAATGTTGTGAAGCTTTTGACCTGTGTTTCTTTCTAAGAATTTTTTTTACAGATTTCGTTCCTATATTTAGACCTGTGATCCATTTTGAGTTTGTTTTTGTATATGTTGCTAAAGGACCAACTTAATTCTTTTCCACGTGGATATCCTGTTTTTTCCAGCACTGTTGGTTGAAAAGACTGTCCTTTCCCCATTGAATGGCCTTCACTTTCTTGTTGAAAAGCATTTGACCACACATGTGAGGGTTTATTTCTGACTCATTTTTACTCCATTGGTATCTATGCCTGACTTCATGTCAGCATCACTGGCTTTTAATTACTGTGGCTTTGTGGCAAGTTTTGGAGCCAGAAACGTGGGTCCTCCAGATCCTCTTTTTCAAGATTGTTTTGTCTATTCCCTCGAGATCCCACAAGATTCAGTATAAATTGTAGGATGGGTTTTTCTATTTCTGCAAAAAAATGTCATTGGAATTTTGATAGGGATGTATCTTAATGATATCAAGCCTTCCAATCCATGAACATGGGATGTCTTTTCATTTGTGTCTTCTTTAATTTCTTTCAGCAATGTTTTGTAGTTGTCATTGTACAAGCCTTACACCTCTTGGTCAAATTAATTCCTATGTATTTTAGTCTTTTTTGTTTGTTCTTTTTCTTCCAAATTTTTATTTAAATTCTAGTTAGTTAACATATGGTGTAATATTGGTTTCAGGAAGTATTTTACTCCTTTCGATTTTCTTGTCAGTGGAATTGTTTTCATAATTTTCTTTTCAGATTGTTCATTGTTAACGTATAGAAATGTGACTTATTTTTTGTGTGTTGTCTTTGTATCTTCCTACATTGCTGAATTCATTTATTAGTTCTAACTTTTTGTTTTTGGTAGAGTCTTTAGGGTTTTCTACATGTAAGATCATATCATCTGCAAACAGAGATAATTTTAATTCTTCCTTTCCTTTTCTTTTTTCTTTTTTTCTTTTTTTACTTCTTCATTTCCAATTTTGATGCCTTTTATTTATGATTGTTGGCTAATTGCTAAGCTAGAACTTCCCGTATTATGTTGAATAGAAGAAGCACAAGTAGGCAGCCTTGCCTTGTTTGCAATCTTAGAGGAAAAGCTTTCAGTCTTTCACAGTTGAATATGATGTTCACTGTGGATTTTTCATACATGGCTTTTATCATGTTGAGATAGTTTGCTTCTATTCTTAGTTGAGTATTTTGATAATGAGAAGGTGTTGGATTTAGCCAAATGTTTTTCCTGCATCCATTGAAATGATCATGTTTTTTTTTTTTTTTTTTTCTTTCTTCATTCTGGTAATATGGTGTGTTGCATTGATCAATTTTTATGTTGAACCATCTTTACATTCCAAAAATAAGTCCCACTTGGTCATGGTGCATAACCCTTTTAATATTTTGTTGAATTCAGTTGATAGTATTTTGTTGAGGATTTTGGCATCAATGTTGACAGGAATATTGGGCTTTAGTTTTGTTTTCTTGCAGTGTCTTTTCCGGCTTTGCTATCAGGATGATTCTGGGCTCATACAATGAGTCTGGAAATGTTGCTTCTTTTTCTGGTTTTTAGAAGAGTATAGGATGGATTGGTATTTGTTTTTCTTTAAATGTTTAATAGAATTAATCTGAGAAGCCATCTGGTTCTGGGCTTTCTCTTCAGAATATATATTTTTTAAGTATTTCATTTTCTCTCTGTCTCTGTCTCTGTCTCTCTCTCTCTAAGTTTATTTATTTATTTTGAGAGGGGGACAGACATAGGAGAGCAAGAATCCCAAGAAAGCTCCACACTGTCAGCACAGAGCCTGATGTGGGGCTCAAACTCACAAACCTTGAGATCATGACCTGGGCTGAAGTCAAGAATCAGATGCTTAACCGACTGAGCCACCCAGGTGCCCCTTGTCAGGATATTTTTGATTACTGATTCAGTCTCCTTATTTGTTATTGCTCTGTTCAGTCTTTCTCTTTGTTCATTTTTTTCTTTAAATGTATCTTTATTTTGAGAGAGAGAGAGAGAGAGACAGTGCAAGCAAGGTAGGGCCAGAGAGAGAGGGAGAGAGAGAATCTTAAGGAAGCTCCACACTGTCAGTGCAGAGCCTGACACAGGGCTCGATCCCATGAACTGTGAGATCATGACTTGAAGTCAAGAGTCAGACGCTTAACCCACTGAGCCACCCAGGTGCTCCTCCATAGTCTTTATTCTTGATTCAGTCTTGCTAGGGTCTAGGAATTTGCCCATTTCACCTAGGTTATCCATTTTGTTGGTGTACAGTTGAACAACTGTAGCAATCTCATGAATCTTTTTGTTCCTGTGAAGTCAGTAGCAATGCTTCCACTTTCACTTCTGATTTTGGTAATTTCAGTTTTCTGGGTTTTTTGTTTTTTTTTTTTTTGTTTGTTTGTTTGTTTTTAAGTCCATCTAGGTAAAGTTTTGTCAATTTTGTTGATCTTTTGAAGAAACAAGTTTGGCTTCATTGATTTTTTTCTATTTTTTTTGTATTCTCTATTTTGTTTATCTACGCTCTAATCTTCATTATTTCCAACCTTCTGGTAGATTTTGGTTTATTTTGTTCTATTTTTTTCTTTAGTTGTCTAAGTTGTAAAGTTAGGGTTTTTTTTGAGATCTTTCTCATTAAAAAAAATTTTTTTGTAAGTTTACGTATTTATTTTGAGACAGAGAGGGAAGGAGGGAGAGAGGGAGAGAGGGAGAGGCAGAGAAAGAGGGAGACAGAGAATCCCAAGCAGGCTTCACGTTTTCAGGGCAAAGCCCGATGCAGGGCTTGGACCCACAACTGTGAGATCACTACTTGAGCTGAAATCAAGAGTCGGAAGCCCAACCGACTGAGCCATCCAGGCGCTCCAGAGATCTTTCTCATTTTTTAACATAAGCCCTTCCAGCTATAAATGCCCCCCCCCCCCACCTTAGCACTGCTTTTGCTACATTCCACATTTGGTGTGTTGTGTTTTTATTGTCATTCATCTTTGAGTATTTTGTAATTCCTCCTTTGATCCATTGGTTGTGTGAGACTGTTTTGTTTAGTTTCCCACAAATTTGTGAATTTTCTAGTTTTACTTCTGTTATTGATTTCTAGCTTTACCCTGTTGTGGTTAGAGAAAATACTTCGTATGATATCTATTTTTTTTTAATCTACCAAGATTTAGGGGCACCTGGATGGCTCAATCGGTTGAGCATCTGACTTCAGCTCAGGTCATGATCTCGGGGTTTGTGAGTTCGAGCCCTGCGTCAGGCTCTGTGCTGACGGTTCGGAGCCTGGAGCCTGCTTGGGATTCTCTCTCTCCCTTTCTCTCTGCCCCTCCCCTGCTCATGCTCTCTCTCTCTCAAAATAAATAAATAAATAAATAAATAAATAAATAAATATTAAAAAAAAAAAAAGAAAGTCTGAATCTTGCATCCAGGGCTCCTGGATTCTTAGTGTTTTAAAACCCTCTATTTTGAAATAATTTCAAAAAACATGTGAAAGCAGTACCCAAAAGTCCCATATATCCTTTACCCAGATTCACTTATTTTTTGAAAACATTTTGCCACATTTGGTTTCTCAATATGTTAATATCTGTACATATTTTTTTCTAGAATCTTCAGTGAGTAGGCTGCTTACGTGGCTTCCATTGGAGTAAGCCTGGGACACCCAGGTTCTGTCCTGCTGTGTGTCCAGGGGTGCTGGATGGCGCCCTCTCCCCATGGTGCCCGGCCCTTGTTCTGCAGTTCAGATTCCCCTCCACAGACTGCCAGCCTGATAAACATTTGCAGGATGAAAAACATTAGGTTAGGTATCCGTATATTCATAGCTGGTCCAAGGAGGTGGAAGGTATTTCTACATTAGCCCGAGTCCTTTCGAAAGATGACCCAGGGCTTACTTACCCGGGCTTAGAAAATGATTTCAAGACTATGTTTGTTTGTTTTTAAACCTTACAGCCCAACAAGTCGGCTGTTTGGGTGAACCCCTTAGTGCAGCTGGCCTTGGAGATAGACAGAGGGATTGGACAACTGTATGTCTCCACCTTGTGGCTGCGTCTGGAATCACACATCTTGGATTCCAAGCGGGCGTGTTTGCTCCAGCTGGTAGGCCGGTGGAGGGAATTCTGGTTTTTCCAGGTCAGTGCGGCTGAGCAGGGGAAGGGCCTGAAACAGGGTAAGGACGGGAAGACTCCTGCTTGCTTTGCAGTTCCCCTAACCATCCACCCCGTGGATGTCATTGTGCTGAAGATTCCATTC